CACCCATCCTCTTGGGAAGACCCTTCTTAAAAACCGCAAAAACAAAAATTGACGTGTCTAGTGGTTCATTAACTTTAGAGTTCAATGACCAAAAAGTAGAGTTCAATATCTTCGACTCTACGAAAAAACAAATTAAAGATCAATCTCTTTGCTCTTTGAATGTTTTTGAACCACCAACGCCAAATGCTTTAACTGAGTCGATAACAAAGAAGAAAGGTCGGCCTTACTGGAAAAGGCCAAAGAAAAGAAATGACGGAAGGGATGCTCACGATCCCACATAAAATAAAATAAACATAAAAATAAATAAAACGTCGTGCCACGACGTTAAATAAGGCGCTTCTTGGGAGGCAACCCAAATCAATTAGTTAGATTTTATTTCTTTTTTTTTTGTGTGAATTTGAGAGAAAAGAGAGAGAGGGAACTAATCACATGCTTGTTTTGAAGAAGAAGAAAATGCAGGTTTTAAAGTGTCTGGGGTCATACTCGATCGAGTACGGAATAATACTCGGTCGAGTATGCTCAGAAAAACCATATCTGCACCTCCCTGCCTCCAGTACTCGATCGAGTACAGGTCAATACTCGGTCGAGTATGCTCAGAAAAGCCAGTTTCCCAGCCCCTGTCTCCGGTACCCGATCGGGTATACAGGGATACTCGATCGGGTACCCCTGCGGATATAACACCAAATTAACCCCAAAAACACTTCATCTTCCCCAAACTCTTCCCAACTTCGAACAACCCTACCCCAAAACTCCATTTTTGGACCTTCTCTCTACCATATCTCACCCAATCCTTCACCAAATCATCCCATTTCACCACCAAAATACTCCCCTCACTCTCCTCTCCATATCTATACCCAAAAATCCCCTTTTTCCCAAATATCCAACAAATCCAAAAAACCCTACCCCCATTCGAATTTTTGGATTTCAAGCTCAAATTCATCAACAATGGCACCAAGGAAGAATAGGGGAGAGAGCTCAATCACCATAGCACCTATCCCGGGCTTTGAAGACATCATTCCCGCCGACGCCGAGCACCGAACTAGACTCCTAGCAACAACACAAAGGCAAGTAAAACCTTCCTGTTTTCTATGCCATGATGCTCTACATGAATTAGGAGTCTATAAGAGTTGTAGAAAATTCTTTCATGCATTAGATATGGACCGTATTTTCAATATGAAGTACAATTCTAATGACCGAATTATCTACGAATTCTTGAGTTCGGTGAAGTTTGAGAGTGATGAGGCGGATTTTAGGGATGATAGACTCGAGTTTCGTCTATTTAACCGAAACTATTCAATCACGAAACTCGAGTTTGCTGAACATTTTGGCATCCCGGTGCCCTACGAGAGAACCATCTCGGATAACACCATCTTTGGGCACTCCCTATGGACAAAGATGACCGGGGAAGTGAACTTTAAATCCTCCCAAATGTATATTAGTCATGTCCAACACCCCGTGCTCCGGTTGTTCCTAAAATTCTTGGCGAATTGTTTGCTTGGCCGTCCCAACAACCATCACACTAGAATCGGGGACGTGTGTTTGATGTCAGTGGCCTTATTCCGTCGCCACGTGGACTTTAATCTGTGCAATCTCATGTGGGCACATTTAAAGAAAGAAAGCTTAGCAAAAGGGGCCATAGTTGTGGGTGGAGTGATAATGCACTTGGCAAGTAGGTTCGGGTATACGGATAACTCCCCTATACCCGACTATTGCTTAATGGATATGGGTTGGTTAGGACGCTCGGGATGTACATCTTTCTCCCACACGGTCTATATTGGAGACCAACCAAAAAACATGTACAATTGGGTCATACACGTACAACCTGTGCAATACTTCCTACTGCCAAACCCGGACACCCCCAAACTACGCTACAGAGCGGAGTTCGAAGAGCCTCACTACCTATTCCCTCACGCCCTTCCACCACATCTCCAAGAACCGCAAGCCCAAGATCTCCCCGAAGACCAACCCGACCAAGAGCCTCAACCCGAGTACCAAGAACCCGAGGTTGCACATCACCACATGCCCGAACCGAACCAAGCTTCCCCACCCCCCGCTTACTTCCAACAACTGCTTGACGGATTCAATAGAGTTACCAATGAAGTTGGTAAATATCGGGAGGAACAAAGGGCGGGATTTCAAAGACTACAAGAGCAACGGGCCGAAGATAACCGAAGGTATGAAGAAGATCAACGTAGGTTCTATGGACCTATGTATTCCTACATGGCTCATCAAGGCCAATTCCACACCATGGCTCAACCACCACCACCCCCCTCTTGGTATGACCCCACTCAATGGGGCAATTTCGGAGGATCTAGCTCCGGGGGTGGGGGTTTTGATGGAGGGGATGATGGCGGCGACACCCACATGGGCGATGGGAGCTTTGGAGGAGGCTTTGGAGGCGGCTACTACGGCGGTGAAGGTGGGCACTAGGGACAGTGCTTCAACTTAGTGTGGGGGAGGAGATTACTCATGGTATGTAATTTCATTTTCTACCTTTTACTATGCGTGAATTTCTTTTACCCTTTGTAAACAAAAAAAAAAAAAGAAGAGAAAAATGGATAAAAGAATTGAAATGCTAGTTAGGTTGAAAACCCAAGAATGGGCAATCTAAGCAAAAATGGCTTATAAAAAAATGAGTGAGTTAGTAAGGATGGAAAAACAAAAAGAGATGCTAGGATGAAAACCTGAAAAGGCTCCTAGGCAAAATGAGAGATATGAGAGAAATATTTTTTCTGTGTGCAGGAACTCATTTGATCTCTAAGAGGAAGAAGAAGAAGAAGAAGAAAAAGGAGAAGAGGAAGAGAAGATGAACACTAGAAGACCATAAAACCCAAGATGATATTTAGCATTAAAACTCATATTTTATCCTTGGTGGTCTTTGTGTTTTTATCTTGTTGAATCTATTGGAACTCGGGAATCTTTACACTTGTAAACATTGAACTTTACTCGAGGACGAGTAAAGAACTAAGTGTGGGGGAGTTGATATGTTTGTAATTTCCGTGTGTTTATTTACGTTTTTAGATAGTTTTGGTTGTTTAATATTTCGGAAATTACACACTTTCGGTGTAATAGTTTAGTTTGTTAAATTCTTGTAATTTGTTTAGATTAGGTTTATTCTGAGCTTAAACAAGTCCAAGATCAATCAAATGATCAATGGTGAAGGAAGGTGCAAGAATACAAGACAAAAAGAAGGAAAAATCCTGATTTTGGTCTATACTCGGTCGAGTATATACATATACTCGATCGGGTATCTGGTTGACATTTCAAATCAGATCGGATCCGAAAACAAAGGAACATGCAGGAGAAGATTTTCCCACGTTCGAGTGTCTATACCCGATCGGGTATACTTATATACTCGATCGGGTATAGCTATAAAAACTACCCGAGTATTGATCGAGTATAGGGCGAATTCGATATTCTACACATACTCGATCGAGTATGTATATATACTCGATCGAGTACTCGACCTGCACCTCAAAAAGCCTATAAATACACCTCCTTTCCTTCACTTTTATATCACCAATTCACATATACTTCTTAGCTCAGTTTAGACAAGTTCTTTCTTTATATTTTTCATCATGTTTAGTCTCCAAATGAGGAGCTAAACTCTTCCATCTTGGTTTTGCTACTTTGAAGCTTAATGATTTGTAAGTTGTGAGTTATTTTCTTTAATCTTCTTCCTTGAATATTAATTACTTCCTATTCATATCCCAGATTAATATATTGAGCATTACTTAAAGTATCAACTAGTCTTGTTCTATATATTAATTATTACTAGAATCAATCGGTTAATACGCTTGTTATTAATTCGGTTCTTTCAATGGTAGTAAACTTGGATTACTAATGCATGCTTCTCATGGTTAATAATCTAAGGGGAATTATTTATATTGATTAAACCAATAAACCGCTTGTGTTGAGGTTATCAATCTCAATCGTTTTCATCTTAAGTTTATTGCTACTATCAATTTAATATACGGCGCTTGTCCTATATTGACTTGATAGTAAGTTTTATTAATGAACGCATCTCGTTATTAATAACTACCCTCGATGAACTGGATATACTCCTCGATTGAGTATTCGAGAGGAAGATAGTTAAAGATATAACCGGGATCGACGAACATTTCATTAAGTGGATAAAAGCAAAGCCAAGTCTTCTTCTCATTAATTAAACCACATAACTCGTTCATCTTCGTGTTTAAATATCATTTAAGTTCATTCACTCAAACTAAAACCCCCCCTTTATATTTACTAGTTTATAAAAAAAGAGAAGTATTCCTTTCCCTGCGGATACGAACCTTACTTCAATATACTACGTATATTAGTTGTATTGTATTTATTTTGAGTGCACCTCACGACAAAGTGCACGTCAGCAGTGTCGTGCTAACGACGGGTATAATGAAATATATGAAATGGGCCGTGTGCCGGCAAATAAATAAATTTACTTATTATAGAGATAATAAGTGGGAAATATAAATTATTATTTATATTATGATATCACCCTATTTTGAGGGTCTTAGAAATTAAAACGTTGATTATACTTAGTATAGTTGTCATTGTACTTGTCAAATGCTTCCAAGTACTGACCTCCCCTTCACGGGGGAGGCCACCTCACAGTTTCAGGTAGGGAGTAAAGCTTGCTACCATCGCCCGTTGCTTCGGGGAGCTCAGGGAGAGAAGACGTGGTTCGTGCTTCCTCCGTTCTATTTTTAAAACATTAAATTAATGCTCATGGATATTATTTTGAATAATTATTTAGGGCTTGTACGCCCATGTTGCCGAAGTGTGGCATAAACACTTGTATTAAACGTTTCCGCTGATTTAAATGATTATTTTACATTATGTTTGTTTATGGATGTACTATTGTGAATGATATTCAAGACGCCTAGTATAGTATGGATGAGTTGGACTGCGGTTGACTATTCGTACTGTACGGCGGGTTGTTGACGTGTCCGGTAGGTCCGGGGCGTGACAATGTGAATGTTGAAGAAACAAGCAAAGGTGGCAGTAAGATGACTGAGAATGTTGTAGAAGAATCTGAGCACCGAGGGAGTGAACCTGAGCATCAAGGTATTGAAACTGAGCAACATGATAATGTTGAAGAAACAAGGAATACTAGCAGTAAGACAACTGAGGAGGTTGGAGAAGAATCTGAGCAACAGGGAAGGGAAAATGAGCAACAAGGTAGGGAAATTGAACAAAATCAGATTGTTATAGAAGTACAACAAGGAGCTGCACAGAGAAATAATGAGAAGAAAAGAAAGAGAAATAATGCAGGCTCAATTAAGAAAAGTACAGAACAAGGAAATTCAAGCAAAGAGAAAGAGAGCGAGGAAGTTAGTCCAAAAAGAAGAACTACAAGATCAACAACTTCAGAAGCAACTGAAAAGAAAAATGATGAAGTTCAGAAAAAGAAGAAAGAAGTTCATGCAAAGAAGAAAATAACAAGGGAAGCAGATTCAATAAAAGAGAAGAAGCAGAAGATAAAGAAGAAGAAAGCAGAAGAAGAGGAAGAATTTGAGGAGGACGAAGAGGAGATAGAGAAGGAAGAGAATGCAAAATACCCAAAGCTGTGGACAAGAATGTCTCCGAGTAGTATAACAGAAATAATGAAAAATCTAAGTGCAGAACAAAAGAAAGAGGTGGTTGAGATGGGATTTGGCCCCTTACTGAACCTTGAAGTGAAGCAATTGCCAATGCAGTTGGCATATTGGTTGCTGGACAATTTTGACAGCAGAAGTGTGTCTCTTCTTCTGCCAAACAATGAAAGGTTGAGGATTAATGAAGATGGAGTGCACGTGACATTGGGATTTCCAAAAGGAAAGATTAATGTGAAGAATTTGATTGACACTGAATCTGAGAATACTTCACACATGGTGGCTAATTGGAGATCACAATTTCAGACTGAAAATGGAGTTGTGAAGACTGCTCAAGTGAAGAAGGTTATAGAAGAAAACAAAGCAGGCGGAGTATGGTTTAAAAAGAATTTTTTGGTTCTCCTGGTAACATGTTTGATTGAAGGGAAGCAAAATTGCTTTGCCAATCAAAGCATTCTGAAGGCATTGCAGGATGATTCAAAAATCAAGGATCTGAATTGGTGTGGATACACTTTGGAAACATTAATTGAAGCAAAGGACTATTGGAGCAAAAATAGAGAAAGACAGTTCCCAGGGCCTTTATTATTTCTGATTGTAAGTTACAAATTCTTAATGTTATTGCTCATTTTTACCACACTATTACTCATATCCGCATATACACTACACAATTCTAAAATCTCATAAAATATGTAGGTGTTCTATGTAGACAACATTGTGTTCAAAGGCAGAAAAGTGGGCAGAGCATTGCCATCTATTATTGGCTGGACAACACAAAAGCTGAACAAACGACAGAAGGAAGAAATTGAAACTGGAGGTTTTGGATACGGATATATAGATGAACCTAACAAAGGGGAATTGATAGTTCCAAAACTGATCACAAATGAAGAAGAAGCTGAAATCCCGATCGAGGGAAACAGTAATCAGGAGCCAAAGAAGGTAAGGACAGTATTATGTAATTTTAATAGAAACAATTGGGTAAATATATAAATGATAAGTATGATATGTAGATATGAGTATTTAGTACAAAGTAATGAGTGCATTTAAGAAGTTAAATAAAAATAAAGATAATAAATGTGTTAAAAATATATATGCTTCATTCAATTATTTTAGTATAAACTCAATAATAACATAAAGAATGCTCAATTACTGTTCTAAATTAATCATTAAATAACTGCAGGATATTATGAAGGAGTTTGCTGCAGCAGCGAAGAATTTGGCAGAAAGCATGGCCAATTTTGATGAAAAATTTCAACAGGCTGCAAAGGTGTTACCTGATGATGAGACAATGAAGATTTTAATGGGAAAAGTCCATGGGCTTTTCAACACATATTCATCAGAAAAGGAGAAAGAAAAAGAAAATGAAACCGAAGTGTCACTGACTCCAGATGATGGATTCTGGACTGAAGAAGTGCTCAAAGCAGTTGAAGCTATTGAAATGGCTCAGAAGAAAAGAGTTGAGAGGCCAACTTTTACTCAGTATGAAAAGCCAAGCTTCAAGTTGCTTTCACAGGAGTCAAATGATGGGGCGAATACATATGGGGATGATGATGAGCATCATCATGACATAATTGAGCAACATGGCAATGCAATTGAGCATGCAGAGGATGGTCCAAGTGAGCAAATGAATAAGGATAATGACAATGCTGAGGATGTTAATGAGGATGAAGAGGAATCTGAAAAGGAAGAATGTGAAGAAGAAAGAGACAGAAGGTTTAGAAAGGGTAAGCAAGTTGAACAATATCACATTGAACCAAAAGAGAACAAAGTGGAAAGAGAAAAAAGAGAAACAGCCCCAGCACCAGCTGTGAAGTCCCCATTCATGAACAGAAGTATAGATGCAAGGACAACACTTGGCAGTGAGGAAAGACTACTTGCAGGTTTTGTGTTCAATGATCATTGTGACAAGAAGTAAGTCGCTAAGTTTTTCTTAATCATTTCGTTTAATATAATGCACATTTAATATTTGAAGGTTACTCATTCTGATATAATAATTCTTTTCAAACAGTGTTGTGGTGTTCAAGCATTACAACTTCACTCTTTCAAAAGCTCAGATGGAAACAATGAAGAGCAACACAAAAGTTGATGCTGGAATTATAGATATATGGGCAATGTTGCTTAATCATAATGAAAAGTTCAAAAGCCCTGAAGCTAAAAGCAGAATGATTTTCTCAACAAGACCATGTGTAAGAAGTACATATTCATTTACTTAGTATTACTAAAATGAAACTAATATATTATAATATTTAATGACAGCATGTGCTAGATCAAAATCATCTCACCGCTCCACAAACAAGGAACAAAAGGTTTGCGGCAGAAATTGGCAAGGAATTTCCCTGTGCAGATGGAAATAAGTTGAGGTCAACAGACCTATTCATATTCCCAGATGAATACAATGGGTGCTACTATATGATGTGCTTTGACTTGAAGAGCATGAAGTTCTACATCTGTTAGAACTTTTATTGTGGGTCAAGTTTGTCTGTAATGTCTTGTTTAAATAAAGTAGACTAGTTATACCATTTATGGTATTAGATTAGTATTTATTATGTAGCAAATAAGGTAAAGGGAATAAGGCCCAAAAAGGCCTTGGCCCAACTACCAAGGTTTACCTAAATCGGTAACCTGTACAGCGCCTATAAATACGCGCCTTGTGTACAGGTACCGATATCGATCAATACACATTAGCCTTACGCTGCCAAATTTACTTCTCGATACAACAGAAAGAAGGTTTCACTGTTCTCGATAAATCTTATATCATTATATGAAATCTTTCTCTTCTGTTTATCGATGATGCTCATCTAGCTGATCGTTAGTCTGCATAAACTGGGACCAACAACTGGTATCAGAGCCTGCTCGAGTTTGATCGTCGAAGAAAAGTTTTCGAAGTTCTCTGCCTTTTCATACTTTTCGATTTTTTTTGTTTTAAATCACTGTAATCTTGTTTCTGATCGATAAACTGTAAAAGTTATACCATTGGATTCGCCATTCAGAAACGAACCAAGGGTATATCTTATTTTTCAATATCAGTAGATTTTGTGATTTTGATTTCTCGATAGTATGATGTCGAAAAGCAGAGTTCTCGACATTGTAGCAGTTTTTTCGAGCTGAAGATCATTCCAGGAAGATCTCTGGATTTAGGACTTTAAACTTTAGCTGTTTTATCTACATAAAACTGAGTTTTCGAATTGCAGGATCTCGATACTGGCTTCTCGACATAAGTTCTCGAACTGAGTTCTCGAACTGCTGTTCTCGACACTCAGTTTTCGACATTATATCTAGATACCTTGTTTTCGATTTGCAGGATCTCGGAATCTCTTCTCGATAGTCAGTTCTCGAAACCAAGTTCTCGAACTCCGGTTTTCGATACTGACTTCTCGAAAGAACTTCTCGAACTCAGCTTCTCGATAGCAAGGTTTTCGATATAAAACATCGAAAACTGCTTCTCGAAATAGCTTCTCGAACTCTGTTTTCGAACCTATTCTTGAAACTTCGGTTTTCGACATTCTGTTTATTTGATAATTTAATTTTATCTGATCAAAACACTCGAACGATCTTTTAAGGCTCAATCAGCGAAGATGGAAGCATTAGCACTTGGAAATGACAACAGACCACCCATCCTCAGAAAAGGAGAGTATCAGATGTGGAAGACAAGATTCTTGAACTTTCTGGAAGGGAAAGATAATTCATCTGCCATGCTTGAATCACTCACACAAGGTCCTGCTGAGATCTATACTGAAGTAGATACCTCAGATGTAAACAACCCTCCTGTTAACTGTGTAAAAAGACTGAAGACAAAAGGTGAATACACTGAAGCTGACAAGTTGAGAATCAAAGCTGATCTCATGGCAAAAACATATCTGCTGCAAGCTATCCCCAATGATATCTACATTCTGATAGACAGTATGGAAACAGCAAAGGAAATGTGGGATGAGGTGAAGAAGTTAATGATTGGAACTGATCTCGGTTTGAAGACAAAGAAAGCGAACATCTTGACTGCCTATGATGCCTTTAAAGCCCTACCTGGTGAGGCGCTCCATGAGACGTATAACAGATTCGTACAATTGATCAATGAAATGAGAAAGATCAAAGTTGTCAAATCTAATATGGAGATGAACATACGTTTCTTGTCGAGCCTGCCGCCAGAATGGAGAAGAACTGTTAAGAATCTACGACAACACCTGGACTTGGATGAACTCGACCTCTGCACTGTCCATGAACATCTACAGCAGTTTGTTAATGACACTGCTGAGATGGAAGGAAGCTTCTCTGCTAATCCTTTAGCACTCATGATTGAAGCTAAGCCAAAGAGTTCATCTAAGGGTCCAAAGAAGAAGAAGGCAGTTAAGATTGAATCAGAAGAAGAAGAAAGTGAAGAAGAAATGGATGTTGAATCTGAGCTGGCTGATCTACAGAAGAAGATGGCACTACTTACTAATCAGTTCAACAAAAGGTTTGCCAAGAAAGGAAGCTCATCAAACAAGCTCCGAACCTCCTCTGCCAACTACAAATCAAAAAACAATGATCAAAACTCTTCTAGTAGAGTTGTTGCAGCAGAAGACCCCCTCAAATGCTTTAACTGTGGAAAAGCTGGACATGTCATCAAAGACTGTCGCTTACCAAAGAAGAGGGACTTCAACTATTACAAGCAAAAGATGCTGTGGAACAAGCAGAAGATGTTCATGGCTAAGCAAGATGATGATAGTGCTGCAACACTTACTGAGAATGATCCATGGCAGGAGGAGAGTTCTGATGAGGAAGAAGAAGAGAATCTGGCCCTGATGGCGTTTGTGGAAGAAGAAGAAAAAGAAAAGGGTGATGCTGCGATCCCCGGAAAAAGTCAAAGTTCAAGCTCAAACACCACTGTAAGTACTTCTGAACCTTCCTGCTCATGCACATGCAAAGTTCATTCCTCGTGTGAAAAGGATAACACCATAAAGGAGCTAAAAGGCAGGTTAGATCATTACTACAAAGTGGTACTTGATACTCTAGACAAGAGTCACTCCCTGAAGTTACAACTAGAAAATGAGAAAGAAAGAGTTCAGAAACAAAATTTAGAAGCAGAAAAGCTTACCCAGAAAATTACTGAACTAACTAAGAAGGTCAGTGACACAGAACTCGAACGAAATGTTGCAAAAGCAGAAAATGATTTTCTACGCAAACAAAGATGTGCTCTTTACACAAAAATCAAAGAATTAGAAGATCTACTGGTCAAAAGGGGACAAACTGAACAAACAATTTTCTTAAACCAAAACAGGGACACTCGGTTTTATAACTCAAAGGAAGGTCTTGGCTTCACTAATCCCAACAATCTGAAAAAGATTGATTGTCTTCAACTTTACAACATAAAGTACATGGGGTTAGGATTGACCAAGTTGATGGCTTTTACCTACGGAAAAGAAACCGCAGAAGAAGAAGAGATAAAGCGGTCAAATCCATCAAAAGCCGAAATTCCTTTCAGTTATGATTCCCTGAACAAAAGCTATGAAAACGCTGAACCTGTTTTGTCAACTGATGAGAGTGTGAGTCTCTATCCTTCTGAGAAGGAAGTTGTGTCAGACCCTGAACCCCCTTCAACCTCAGGTTCAAGTGGAGAAGAACCCTACATCCCTCCACTAATCAGGAAATTTGAAAATCTACACATCTCTTTAGAAAATCAAAGAAAGAGTTTTGAAGAAGAAAGAAAAGGTTTTGAAAGTGAGAGGGAAAAGTTGCTGAAGGAACTGACAATCTTAAAAGAGAGTTCTCAATCTGGCACAACTTCCCAATCATCTAGTGATACTGATGCTTCTCAAAGAAATTTGAACAAATCTAAATTTTTCCAAAAGACAATCACTCACTCTGAATCTCCTTTGAAAGCAGGAAGAGAAGTAAGTAGGAGATTGGAGAGAAAAAGAGAGTGGAAGTTGAAGAGAGAGGAGATTGCTGAAGGAAAGAAGAAGATGTTTTCTGAGAATAAAAAGTCGTGTTCAAATGCTGTTTTCTATTCAAATAAGCGTAGATCTAGTTCTATGTCACAGTCATGTAGTTCTAGTTCAGTCTTGTGTCCCAAGCTGAATCACTCTAAGTTTAAATCTGATACTTTCATTCTCAATGAAAAGTTGTTTACTTCTGGCTTTGTGAATCCGTGCAATGATACTTTTGGTTCTGATCATGATGTAAATGATGTACGTGAGAAAGAAAAAAGAGAGCGCAAACAAAGAAAACAATCTGAGAATAGAACTATAGAGGGTGTCTATAATCTTCCAAATTTAAGATATCCTCTTAGAGTTCATTCGAAGAAACATTTACAACGTCTCTCTAAAGAAGAAATTTTCAAACCTTATCTCACGAACCAGCCATTCACACATGGTAACAATGACTCTGTCTCCTCCGCTCCTAAAATCAAACAAAAATGGATACCAAAAGCTGAAATTGAAAAACAAAGAACATTATCTGAAAAGGCTGTTGACCTTGGATCACAACTAAAAGGAAAATTCAAAAGGATATTCTCAATTGATAAGGAAGGACCCATCCTGAGGTGGGTACCTAAAAGTCCTTAATCTGTTTTGCAGGACGGTCATGTGTGGCATTTAGATTCTGGCTGCTCAACCCACATGACCGGAATAAAGGAGCTGTTGAGCAACTACACCAAATGCTACGGAGGAAATGTGAGATTCGGAAACAACGCAGCTTCTCCAATCCTAGGATATGGGGATGTCATCTGTGCAAGTGTCACCATCAAGGCTGTGTCATATGTGAAAGGACTGAAGCATAATCTGCTAAGCATTGGACAGTTCTGTGATAGTGGCATGGAAGTGAAGTTTATAGCCAGACAATGCTGTGTGCTGGACAGGTTTGGGAAGGTATTATTGACCTGCACAAGAACTTCCAACCTGTACACCATTGATCTGAAGAGCGTACAACTACCTTCTTCCATCTGCCTGCTGTCCAAAGCTTCCTATGAACAAAACAGTCTATGGCACAGACGCCTGTCTCACCTCAACTTCAAATATCTCACTACTTTGTCCTCCAAGAAACTTGTAAAAGGGCTGCCTCCTCTGAAGACTTCCGCTGTCACTCATTGTGATGCCTGGAGACTAGGCAAGATGAAAAGGAGCTCTCACAAGTTAAAACCTGTTCCATCCTCCTCCCGACTGCTGCAACTACTTCACATGGATCTGTGTGGACCAATGAGAGTCCAAAGCATCAATGGACGCAAATATACACTGGTCATTGTGGATGACTTCTCTCGGTACACATGGACCAAATTTCTGAGGACAAAGGATGAAACCGCTGCAACCATCATAACCTTCATCAGGACAATCCAAAATTTTCTACAAAAGAGTGTGGAGATCATCAGAACAGATAATGGTACCGAGTTCAAGAACCAGTCTCTTGCTGAGTTCTATGAAACTCAGGGTATCACACAGCAATTCTCTGCAGCAAAGACACCACAACAGAACGGGG